ATATATTTATATATATATATATTTATTTATATATGTGTCCGTTAGCGCGATAACTCGAGCAAAATTGATCCGATTTTGATGAAATTTGGTACAAACGTGTAAACCTACATTTATTCGAACGAGTTTGCGAACCAGCATAATCGGACCATGGGATCAGGGTCCGATGGGTTTATGGGGGGTTTTATGGGGTAAAAATGGGCTTTTCTCATTTTTGACCCTAAAAACTTAAAATTTCTAAATTTCTCTCTATACCATTTTGAAGAGCTTAAAAAAACAAATAATTTAGTATATTGAAGTGTTTTTGAATGTTCATTGACTACGGAGAAAATTTAAAAAATTGAAAATTTAAAATTCCCATGTTATTCTTATGGAGAATAAATAAACTGTTCTAGTTTGCTTGTTTATGGATATATTTTAATCAAATTTGGCAATTTGGTTTATTTCATACTAAGCTATCAATATTTCAATTGAAAAAACGCATCTCAACATCTTCCCCGTAGCAGCAAACCTAACTTCTCACTAAAATTAATGTTATTTAAATAGGAAATAAATCTGAAAATTTATTGGGAATATTTTAGTAGAAATCAAGCCGGGTAAATGGAAATTCGCTTAGGATGCAGGTTTGCTGCGACAGGGGTATTAATTCAGCAACCTCTTTTTCTAACGTTTTAAAAACCTTCACGAATGCAACTAGACTAATAACTAATTAATGGTTAGTTAAAAGAGTTCAATTATTATTTGATTGCATCTTCAATATGAAAAACGTCAGGTTTTGTGCTTGTTAAATACAATACCTATTCTTTTAATTTCTAAACAAGTTATAAAGAGTTAAAAATAGGTATTTACCTATTTCTACAGCTCAAACTGTTGTAACTTGAGTAACAGCCGTACAAAACCGGTTATAAAACAGTTTTAAAACAATCATCAGTCATCAGTCATCATCAGTCCTTTAGTCTGTTGAGAAAACAATTCGTAACGTGAACTTACGAATAATAAATTGTTATACTATTTATTTTACAATGTAGTTTGATATTATTCATTAAACTATTTACTAGTTTTTAAAGCCAATATGTACAATATGTATAAATGATTTATTAAGCCCCATAAAATCATTTTAAATTTCTAAGGTATAAATTTATGTGTGAGAGTAATGTGACAACTATGTATTACCAAATAATAACACTAATGGTAACACAAGTAAGGTATATTATTAATTTTTGTAAATAATATTCATAAGCAATAATAAAGTACATTTCTTTCAGGAAAACCAGATAAAGATATCAGTGATGGAGATACACTTCATTCAAGAATTTTAATTAAAGCGTGTAGCTTACATAACACTGAAATGCAATCTTCTAATAATCAAGCGCTGCTGGAAGCTTTTCATTAAACTTGTTTACCATAAAATTCGAATCTAAAACCAACGACTCATTAAAGATTGTAATAACTTTCAACACTTTCATCGTATAATTGATGAACACCCTCAAGCCATGGGATGACATAACCTAATACTTCTTAGTCAATTTTTTTTTAATCTTTAGCATAGTTGGATTTGACAAAAATAACTAATGTATTAAAAATTGGTTAAGCCAATGCATTATTAAAAATAATACCTTGGAAAAAACATCATTAACTCTATTGATCATTTTACTCTTTTGAAAAGGTATGAGCCGGGCGGTATTTCAGGTTTAATATACTTAACATATTATCAGTGTTATGATTTTCCCTTAACTTTTAAGCATACAACTGTAAAAGGTGAATTTAAATTTTAGCTTTAGAAAAAAATATCAATCTGCTCTTGACAAATAAAAAAGCTGCATACAAATTTATCAAACTATTTTTAACGATACAGTGTCAAAAATTTATTAAATCCATATATAAATCCCAAAGTACTCATGCACGTTTCAGAAAACTACAAGTCACACCCCCATAAACCACATGCTTAAAATGTTCGTCATGACGAGAAAACTTGCGCAAAACTATCCATTATTTATTTCATGAATTGGCCTTTAAGGTCGTAATCACAGTCCAAAGCGAACTGTCCATACAACTAATATTAAAATACCTCATCTGTACTTATTTGTTTGTTATTCTTTCAATTTATTACCTTAATGAAATCAGGTGTGATTAATTGTTTGTATTACTGTATTTCTTTTATTTCAGCTTAACTTAACCAATCAATAGTTTTAATAATACTAATGCAGTCAAACGGGGTGAAGCCCGCGAGTAACAGCTGGTATGAGTAAAGTAAATGTTTGCTGCAAAGATCTGTTTGTCGCCATTTATCAAACAGCTGATTAATGGCCAGTAATTTACTGCAAGAACACAATTTCCTTCGGGAAAATCTGTCACGGACGGTGCACATAACAAACATTTCTCTTCTGCTGCAGGAAAATACGTTGCAGACTCATCGTGTTAAACGTTAAGTTTTAGTTTTTATTTGGCTTCTTATATAACTTACCAGTTAAAAATCAATACGCTTTCCTAGAAATAACTGAGATATATTATCTGACTTAAGGGCAGAGCCTGAAAATTCAATCACAACAAAATACGGACATTGCTAATGAGATGAACATACAGGGTGTTTTTTTAAAAACTTGCATCTTTATTTATGTAAAAACCGCAATAGATAGAAATATGCAGTTTGCAGGAATCATCTATTGACGTAGGGGGACCAATTGTTTTGAATTCAACGTTACATTCACATTCCCCCCCTTTCCCCCCCTGCCCCCAACTTAATTTTTTTAAATAGCAAGGTACCCCTTGTGACATATCAAATAAAAGAGCATGAAAAAAGAAAATGTTTGATGAAAAAAAATTGAAAATCGGTTCATAAATTTGTGAGATATTCCCCCCCTTACCCCCCCCCCGGAACTTAATTTTTTTTAATAGCAAAGTACCCCTTGTGACATATCAAATGAAAGAGCATAAAAAAAGAAAAATTTTGGTGAAATTTATTTTTCATTTGATATGTCACAAGGGCGGGTACCTTGCTATTAAAAAAACAAGTTATGGGTAGGGGAAAAGGGGGGTGATTATCTCACAAATTCATGAGCCGATTTTAATTTTTTTTTTCACCAAAAATTTTCTTTTTTCATGCTCTTTCATTTGATATGTCACAAGGGGTACTTTGCTATTAAAAAAAATAAGTTCCGGGGGGGTGAGGGGGGGAATATCTCACAAATTTATGAACCGATTTTCAATTTTTTTTCATCAAACATTTTCTTTTTTTATGCTCTTTTATTTGATATGTCACAAGGGGTACCTTGCTATTTAAAAAAAATAAGTTGGGGGCAGGGGGGGGAAAGGGGGGGAATGTGAATGTAACGTTGAATTCAAAACAATTGGTCCCCCTACGTCAATAGATGATTCCCGCAAACTGCATATTTCTATCTATTGCGGTTTTTACATAAATAAAGATGCAAGTTTTTAAAAAAACACCCTGTACATTTAAACCAACCATTTTCATCACGAGATACATGAAGGCATTTTTATGTCGTCTTGTTTATGATACTTTTCTAGTGACTCGATTCATTAAAGTAAACCAAAATTTAAACTTCATTTTCTCAAACGAGGTTCTATGCTAGGGGTTCGTGGTGGAATTTTTTTTTCGATAAGCTTTAACTCTGAAGGATTTTTTTCACATTACTTCAGGCCTAGGGGCTGTGGCATTATCACTTAGGAACAATATATTGGTGATCGGCGGGATTTGAACCTGGGACCTGAAGGTACGAAGTCCCGTATTTTACCACTAGACCGGCTCGCTTTCACTTGCAGGTCACCAAAATGCCAATGTATTCTAATTTTGATTGTGTTTAGAATTCATTGATCATAAAACTAATAAAAAGATTTTAAGATAAAGAGCATTAGGTATCGTATACTAATTATTATAATAGAAACTTCAAAAGTTTATGAAAAACTAGCAACAAAGCTTTATTAGCCAACTGAAGGACCGACGTCACTAATTTGTACCATGAAACCTATTTGCCGAACCAATCTACATATACAAACACGTGTATGGCCTATATTCGCTTATTAGTTCCATTACCATGTTAAAGGAATACATTACAGGCTTGTAACATTACAGCTACAGTAATTGATTCAAAGGTTTGATAAGGCTTTGATTTCAGGGGGTGAATTTTAGGAGGCGATTGCACTCAAATGAATGACAAGCTTGTTGACAAAATGATATTCTTATATGACATTGGTAGAAAAAATTGTTTCCCTAGTTTATATTCATTTCGAAATTGTAGGGAAAATTTCTGTGTTTCAAAAAAGATTGAGGCTATATTTTTACAAAACGTAAAATTTGTAATCTACTTTTAAAGGAAAAAAATGTATGCTAAAAATTATTGTGGTATACAGTAATGGTAATGCAAATCATGTTGCACTATATTAGCAGCATAAATAAATTGAACTTATTGTGATGGATATAACCCTTTCAGAAAACTCTTAAGGAACATATTTGCGTTGATGGTTAATTATCTTCAACATTCGCATAGTTTTTCCCTTAATTTCGATACTTTTAAAATGATATATTTTTAAATATTCAAGAATTTTAACAAACTGAGTTTTTGCCCTCTAAGGTTACTAAAAACTTAAGCCTCAACAATACTTAAGAGTAGCTCCTTCCCATAAAAATATCTAAATAACTATATTTAATAATTATTTTTTTTAATTTTTCAATAAACAGCACAAGAAGCTTTCTTCAACAGAGAGAGCTTTATGTAGGTGAAGTTTCTAAGCACATCGACCGTGAAATTGAGGGACGGAAACCCCTTACCGATCTCACCCTTGTGTTCAGATTGCAACTGTATTCCGTAGTCTGGATTTATATCAGTAGTTTTACATCAACGAAACTAGTGCCAAACAAATCAACGTCTCAATGATAAACCGAGAATAATTTACAATAGGATTTTATCTTTTATATTGGCGTTTCTTAATCAAGATAAACATATCAAACACAACTTTGTTGTAGGTTTAAACTTTAAACTGGTACAATGGCACCTAGTGTGCCTTTACGTGGTTTAGATCCAGATGTGGATTACAAACAGTTTCCTCAGGTCACAATAGGTATGTACCTTTTACCTATAATTGAATACAATTGGTGATTTTGAATAATATGTTCTATATGTCATGTTTGCGCAACTAAAAAGGCTTCCTATATAATTCACCTAACTTCACCTATGCAGAAACAAACTTAGGCTTTTGGCTGCCTGTCAACCGAATCAATCTTGCACATCGTCTCTGGTGATATATAGTTAGTAAACTTCTGTTTGTATGAATTATTCGTATTAATCTTTTGTTTTTTATTTTGCCAACATTGTCAAAGCCTTGACAAGACTTTTTACTCTCTACTAGTTCATACTATCCTTATGCCTTGTTCAAAAATAAAACACGTGGTTTCTCATATAAAAAATACATTCTGTAATTAACGGGGTTTATACTTCCTACTGAAACTAGAACACCATCATAGCCTCTAATACAAGGCCGTGGTGTTGGTGTGTGGCAACGTCGCACCGTCCTATTGATATGGTAACAACAGTGATAACAAACGTGGACATAAACATTGCACAAACACTCCATTATGAGTTAAACAGCTGTTTCAGTAGGCCGTGATTGCGGTGTTGCCACTTTTGTCACGGCCTTGTATAGAGGAGATGACTGTACTGTGAGCCTTAAAGGCATTGAGGCATAAACCCCGTCCAAAAATCACTGCCATAAATTCGAAGCCATTGTTATCTGAACCACCGAGTTTAGTTTGAGTATTAACACATATCTTACGTAGATCCAGAGTACCAGGACGAGTTCGCTGACGTCACTAATCAGGTGAGGTCCAGGGAGGAGTGGGGGGCGAAGCCCTCAACAAGAGCCCCTACTGACCGACCATTGTACGCTCCTGTACGCTACATTGTCCTGTCGTCCTTCTATACAGAACAAGAAGGCACTCCTACTCGGGCGTCCATCATGCAGGAACTTCAGAAGCGGGATATGGACCTAGGACTTCCCGATATTCAATGCAAGTAACTAAACTTATGCAACATTTAGATAGTAAGTAGGTTGGTAATCTTTTAATTGAGATTGGTGTTTGGTGTTGGTAGGAGGCGTTGAGAATTTAGTAGTGTATACTATTTATACATGGATATGATATGGATATTGACGTGAATATGGATTTATTACAGTTAAATTTGTTCATATAAAACATCAAATGCCTTTCCTCTACTTGGCATTGGGGTATGCTAACAGGGCATTAAAGTATTATTCTAAGTGATCAAAGATTATAGGAAAATATTGTTTTATACGAAAAGAATCAGAACATTTAAAATATTTCTTATTACCGTCACCAATAATATTTTAAAAGTCTTCGACAGCTATTACAAAATGGCCGAAAATAATGTATTAAGACAAACAGGTCAATATTCATTGTATATTCTTTTGCTTTCTCTAGCGTAGCAAGATATCAAGTAGTCCTTTTTGGTTTTAAATACATAACTAAATGCTAATAAAATAATCATGTACTAATAAATGCTAGTATATTAAAATAGGGTAGGCTATGACCTAAACTATTTTACTCTGTCGTAAAATAGTATAGTATATAATAATCATATAATAATGCTAATAGATATAAATACTAATAATTAATCAACATTTCCATTAAATTTCCAGCTGGGCCATAGGTGAGGATGGTCTTGTATACGAGGCCAGAAGTTGGGCCTTTAGACCAGGAAACGCTTCAAATTACCCTGGATTTGAAGCTAAATACGCAGAAATTACCTTCATCGGCGATCACAGAAGTAAGTTACAAAATATACGTGGAGAGTGACTTATACTTGAATTTTAAGTTGCTCAAGTATTAGATATACGTATAGTTATGTCAGCACCAAAATTAATAAAGCTTTAAATATAGTCTTATGAACTTCTTATGGGCACAAACGGAATTTGATCAACTTGGGAGAGAAAGCTTCATTTGAAGGAGTCTGCATTTACAAATTCCTTGCATATAAGTTTAAGGTGTTTGAGTTGCACGATATTTTGGCACATTCACCAAATTTGCATAAAACTGAAATATGTAAGGTCTATGGATTTTGCCATCAATTAAGTGTTTTTACCCATGTTCGCGAAATGTTTTATTCATAAGATCATAACAAAATAATTTTATGGAAATTGTTTCAGTATTTTTTCATATGAAATTTAATCAAAGAAATAGTTTGTTATTTCAAAGAAATATTTTTTTTCAGCGAACCTTGCGGTCAAATCAGCAATGGAGTTCATTAGGTTTTCCCAGGTGTTCCAATATCTGCGAAAGGACCTCAGGCTTCTGGAAGACAAAAGAGTGATTAAGAAAGTGTCTAAATGGAATCCAGAAATTTGAAACCATATTATGCAACGTATTAATATTGAATTGCGAGAGATATAGTAATGGAATCAAGTTATTGAAATGTACAGCTAAAAAGGGAAGTGAAATAAAATGTGAGAACACTTCGTAGTATTAAATTACGTATATGAAAATAATCATTAATTTACTCTTTAACCTTTTATGTACCTGATACAAGGCGTACATGTATAATGCTATGTTTTTATCTTCATTTTAATAAAAAAAAAATAAGCTAGACACTGCTAGAAAAATATTTTATTTATTTATTGCATGTACTTGTACAATCGTAATCATGGATTTTACTTAGTTTTTCAATTCTAATAGGAATTTTTACTTAGCCTAAGATAATATATTTTTTAATAATTTCAAGAGCCATGCCAAAATTAATAGTATTTGACAAAACAGTACATTTGCTAAGCCCATAAATCAATAAGCTATAAAGTTAAACAGTTTGTTTGTACACAAAAAAAATTATCATAAAAAAAATTTTTCTTTCAAGAATTATATACTACTACTATATTATTTATACAGTTTGTTAATAATTTCGAACAACCTAACAAATACAATTAGCTTGCCCAAGCCTCTACCACTCACAATATCCAAAGCATTGTTTAAACCCAAAAAAAAATCATAAAAAAAATTCATTCAAAAGAATCAACGAATTATTTTTTTAATAACAACACTGATAGTAAAAAAAATTTATGCAATCTTAATAACACTAACTACACTTTAACATTAGTAACAGATAAGGTTGCATGGTACGGATGTTTATCCTAGAATGGAATGAGCTGTTTAGATAAAAACAAGTTATATTCAATCAGATTTACATACGTGGTGTAAGTGTAAGTGGTCGAGAGAGAATTTTTAAATATGGAGACTGAGGTTCGATGGAAAGAGTTTGATAGTGAGTATTCAAAAATAATTATCTTTTATTGCATTACCCAAATAATTTGTTACAAAGCTATAAGATAGTATAATATTGTTTGAATATAGATTTCATGTGATTTTATTTCTAAAAAACACCGAAAGTTTAGTTAAAAGCTAGATTAAACAGACAAAAACATTATTTTAAGTGTTTGCATTGGCTGTAATAGGGCCATTGTGAAATATCAAAATAAAACATCATTAGTGATTTTAGTTACGGGTAGTGTTTGAAAACAAATTCCTGTCTTTAGTGGCTTCACCTGATAACTTCTTACATCTTAGCCGAGTATTATAAATTTAGAATAATTTGTTCATAGCTGTATCAATTAATTTTGTTGTCAAAGTCTGTGGATTACTCAATAAATATTGAGAAAGGTCTAAACAATCCGATGTTTTGAATAAGAACCAAAAGTAGGTCGCGTTTCAACAAAGATTCGTAACTATATAACTAACTTTCATAATGTTTGAACCTAATGGTTAACACAGGACAAAATTAACTTAATACAACTATAATAGCTTTCTTTGTAAAATCATTTTTTCCCGCCCTACTTTACCAATTTTCCCGATTGAGGTGTCATTTGAAAGCTTTAGACTTAGCAGAGTGAAGCATGGTAACGAAATTGGTAATTTTCTTAAGGGCTTCAACCCCCCCCCCCTGTCTTTTGGTTATTTTTAGAGTACACTTTCGAAGATACATTGTTGCTGACCAGCTTTCTTTATGACCTTTTAAATCTGAATTATAATTCAACTGATCCTTCAGGTGAAAGTTTAACCACAGTCAGATTGTAAACAAGAGATGAAACAGTTTATGAAAACGGAAATTAATTAGGCTGCGTATTTGATAATTGAGGTAGGTTTAACTGATTGAGGTAGTTAAATACTTCTTCAGTCTTAATGGTGTGGATCTAAAAAAAAAATTATGGTAAATTACTGTTTACTGTAAATTGTCTTATTTACCTGATAGTTTTCCTAAGCAATCACAATCTTTGGAAAGTAGAATAGGTATCTTTGGAAAAGTAAAATGTTTAGTTTTACCTTAGAATTAAGTTTTGAAACGTTCCCCCGTTACCATATATCACTAACTGTTTTGTAGAAAGTGTAAATAACAGTTTTTGTACCAAATATGAACTACCAACTATCCAATCTGTTTAGAGAACAGCTGGCAGGATACATTTGTCGAAATCGTCGCCAGGTTCAAGAGTAGAAAGGACTGGAAGGCGACACCACCAGCGTACAAAGACAAACTTCTCGTCCAACCCATACCTTACGTAGTCTTCTCCAGCATAAAGGTTACAGGGGAGGATGCGGAGCTGACAAGTGCTCAAATGGTGAAGGAAATCCAAAAGCGGGACATGGATTTGGGAATGTCTGACATACAATGCAAGTAATTAGGAGTGATTGATTTAATTGTGTATTTGGTAAATGGATTTGCTGATAGGCCTTCTACTGATAACATTCAAGTTTGCACTTAAGTTGCTGAAAAAGTCTTTGAAAAAAATTGAGGTGCGTAAATAAATATGCACTACAATTTCCTCAAGAACTAATCGAGTAAACCAACAATCTCATTGATTCAATTATTAAATGTAATCCTAAAATGTATTCCATGCTTTTTGATTAAACTAAGTTCCACACTTAAGTACTAAAAAGTCTAAGTTACGTTTCAACTTGAAGAGTTCATAATACATAAACATAAGGGAGAGGCACAAACGATTTTACTGCATCTCTTAAGGAATGGGTGAGGATGTGTTATTGACATATTGTTGGGAACCCTATTTGACCTTCCAAGCAATTATTGAGCAAAAATTACTGTATAAAACTCTTAAATGGTCTCGTAGTACAAATCTTTGGGCCGTACATTAAAAAAGTGCTCTCAATGTATTTATTTTGTCTTTAACAGATGAAATTAAGGTAAAAAAAGAATAAGAAAGTGCATTTCACTATTTAAAATAATCTATGGTAGGCCATCGTTAGGATATTAGGGTGGTGAACATATAATTTGCTAATAAAATGTGAATGATTTACTTCTTTATATTTTGTTTATTCATATGTTTATGTTACATATTTAGTTTCTTGGTGTCCGAAGACGGTTTAGTCTGGGAAGGACGAGGTTGGGACTTCTGCCCCGGAAGTGACGAGGACTATCCGGGATACGAGGGGAGGTTTTTGGAAATCACAAACATTAACGATTTCACAAGTATGTAAATACATATTAAACACGAGTAATTTTAATAACTAGGTGAAACCCGTCGAAATCGACGGTTACTTTCAATGCTTAAGCTAATTCATTTACGGAAAGTTAGGTGTAGTGGAATATACTTGAAGTGAAGTTGGCTTTTATTCTTGGACTGTTAGGGACCTCCTCGTTTATATGGTAGTGCGCCTTCGTTGGCAACAAATAATGCAAATGACATAGCAATGCGGCATTTCCAAAAAGCAAAAATACTGTAAACTGGCAGTTACATAAATATTGACGTTTAAATGCATTGTTATACAACGTATCTTATAAAGGATGATGTGATCTAGTTTAAAAGGAATATGACATTTCTGTCATGACAGTAGCTGGTTAAATAGTATTTACTCTTTGTGCCTCTTTTATAGCCAAACTGTCGTGTTATTTTCAATCATGTTAAAAACCCAGTGGGCCACGGTCCGTAATATAGGCCACTGCAAATAATTTGTCAAGATAGGTACCATTTTAGGCAAGGTTTCTGTCTTTGGATGTTATTAGAAACTATAAGAGCACAATAAACTTCTTCTGCAAATAAATAATCTGCTGGAGAAATATAAGCCGAATTATAAATGTTACAATGCGAGTTCGAGCATTTTGTAACTATATGGGTAAGTTATATAGTGTTTTATAGGCTGCTGCTCAGTGCACTTTAAGAATATATTTTTTAGTGATAAATTAAATGGTTTTTGTTGCTGAGTAGCGCTAGTAAAAATGCACAACCCATTTTGTTATTCTAGACACATTCAAAGGCTCTCTTCAAATTCTTATTTGTATACATATCTATATTATGTGTTAACTATGCTGAATGAATACATTGAAGTAACCGCACTGAAAAGTCTGTAGTAAATTGCAGTTATACAGCTTAATGACTTTCTAAATCATGCACATATTTCTACATAAATATTGTAAAATGTTTTATCCAGTTGCTGTAAACTAATATCAATTTAACAAAATATGGACACGGCTCAAATTGGCAACGTGCCCTTCTGCACTTGTATTGATTTGTATTGTATTACACAATCGAAGATTTTTCCAATGATTGAAAACATGTATGATAATGTATGATATGACAATAATCTCATGAACCTATGATGATCTGTTGAATAATATGATAAAATATAGGCAAAAGTGGTGAAAAAGGCAGACAACAACCCGTACAACTGATATTAGATAGTTCAATAAGAAATTATTGTAACAGTTCTGTGATAAAAGGAATTTCCACTGATTTCATAATAGAACGTTATATCAATTTTAAAATCAGAAAATAACATTGCAAATATATCTTTTGGAGAACTCAGAAACTCCCAATAAATGTAGTCCAGTCAAGGAATGAGGTGTAGAGTGCGTGAGCAGGTAACTAAGCGATTCCTTCAGAAACTTGTTCAGGGGGCTTAGGGTGTTAACATACCAAAAGTCCTGACTCCTAGGTGGTGAGCCAGGGGGTGGAGGGGGGAAAAAGGGGGGGGGGAAAGGTACGCATTTTGGGTTTTTTGATTATATCTTGAAAACTATCAACTTTTTGTATACTATAGTAAATTATAAAATTGAAGAAGATTAAATTTTCTACAAGAAAAGTATATAATGTTTTATTTTGGTTCAACAGATTACGAGTTATAACTTATTTAATTGATATCTTTAATAAAATCTCCTTCCATAAGAAATACATGTAAATTAGTATGCGAAATGGGGCGAATCCTATCCGCCCAAAGGAAATATAAATGATATTCTGGAAATCTTGACAAAATTTCCAGTAAATTGACACTTTAATCATTAAAATTGATCCAAAAATAAGGCGAGCGCAAAGTAACAAAATGTCGAGTTTTGGTGTTTTTTTATTGGAAATATAAAAAAAACCTTAAATCATCCCATTTTTAAACGCTCACCCTCGCTTTAATTTTTGACAAAATTTCATGATTAAAGTGTCAAATTACTGAAAATTTTGTCAAGATTTCCAGAATATCATTTTTATTTCCTTTGGGCGGATAGGGTTCGCCCCATTTCACATACTAATTTACATGTATTTCTTATGGAAGGAGATTTTATTAAAGATATCAATTAAATAAGTTATAACTGGTAATCTGTTGAACCAAAATAAACACATTATATACTTTTCTTGTAAAAAATTTAATCTTCTTCAATTTTAAAATTTACTATAGTATACAAAAAATTGATAGTATTCGAGATATAATCAAAACACCCAAAATGCGTACCTTTCCCCCCCCTTTTCCCCCCCTCCACCCCCTGGCTCACCACCTAGGAGTCAGGACTTTTGGTATGTTAACACCCTAAGCCCCCTGAACAAGTTTCTGAAGGAATCGCTTAGTTACCTGCTCACGCACTCTACACCTACTTTTGGATCATTCATTGACTGGACTAATGTGTGTTGTTTAAAGCACAATTTAAAAATTAACAGCTGTTTCATTAAAAAGTATTATTCACATGGCCAAAAATGTAAACAAATGTGTAGAGGGATCTTTAAAGGCTTCTGGGACAGAGCCCTAAGGGACTTTACTTCATGTTTCTTTTGATAACTCATCTACAGACCAAGGCCTTTCTTTGGAGACCTCTACCAAGTTTCTACGTCCAGCCGTTCTCTCAAATAAGTGGAGACAAAGTTTCCAATTAAATTTTTAGATTCCCCCATGTTATTCTTATGGGAGGAAACCTAACTTTGATGGAAGATCCTGCCCAAACTAATAAAGATTTCAAAAAACTAAAAACACTTTGCAAAACTACAGATCAGGGCCATTCTTTTGACACTTTAATCGTCAAAATCGGTCGAAAAATGAGGGAGGAGTTCTGTTTACAAAAATCGGCTTAGCGTATTATATATATAGATAGATATCCGGGGAGCGAGCTGGTCCAGTGGCAGAGCGCTGGACTTTGGTTCCCGAGATTCAGCGTTCAAATCCCACCAATCACCAATGGATTTAATCCAAGTGATAATGTCACATTCCTCTCTAGAAACAGTCTAAAGTAATGTACAACAATGCTGTTCCAAAAACTAGGAAAGACCTTGATGGTTTAAGCAGTTTTTAGCCTGTAATATGATTTTAAGTTTTTTGAATACAAAATTGTAAGGTGTTTTAGGTATGTTTTATATTGATGTTCTTTGGCCCAGGACTACTTCCTAAACATAAAAATAGTCTAAAAGTACGTGATTCCGTATGTGATCCTAAATTTTGTAGTGAGCAGCTAACGGTTTTGGGGTTATAACCTCATCTTCAGGCTCTCGATCTCATTCTTGCGGGAAAGTCGAGTTAAAAAAAAAACACAAGGACACTTAACGTTTAAATAAAAAAAAAACAAAAAAAAAACACGAAGCAGACTGACGGATGATTAGCATAAAATATTAAGTTCAGGAACTAGTTCCACACGCAACGCGGCACGGACAGACGGTCATGACTGGTAATGACACTAGGAGCCTGAAGATAAAGTTGTTTACAACCTCGAAACCGGTAGCTGATTAATAAAAAAATTAGGGACACAAAAGGAATCAAGTAATTTTATACTATTTTAATGTATGTTTTATAGTTTTACTCCAGTTCAACCAAACGTTGCTGGTTTAGTATTTTTCGTGCCCCTTTTACCTCAGATAATTCAAAAGACGATCATTTTTTATAGTATTTGTTATAGTGGGCATAGCCATAAAGAAACGTAAGCATAATTTCCTGGGCAACATTACTTGCTCTAGCTGTAATCAAGTTGTGGAAGGTTTCAATAACCTATTATGCTCCATATATTATTTACATGTAAAAAAACTTCCAGAAGCTAGTAGATTATTTTAATCAAGGAATGACCAAGATTTAAGACCAGACTAGATAGTACAAGAGCTTACTTTTAAAATCATAATTTGATGGTTTCATCTTGAGATTTCAAAATTTCTTTCAAGATTAACAATTTATACTAAGCTATTAAATATCTTTTCAAACATCTGTTCAGATATGTTAAAAAACTTTTCGCACTTACAAGACCCAAGACCCAAATATAACTGTTCCTACAAAAATAAAGTTTACCATCGTTGGGAACATACAAAAACAGTTTTAAATTTTTTATTTTTATTTTTATGTAATGAATGTCATATTTTTTAGCTAACAAGACCTTAATTTTTAGATCCTAAAGCAAAAAAAGCCTCTGAACATCTGATAGACATTGGGGTGCTTTACAAGTTCATAGCCAAGGACTTCAAGCAGCTGACTCCCGATAAACGAAGAAAAGAGTTTATCGCTCCAAAGTGTGTTTTTGATGTGGGAGAGTCGCCAGATTCGAATAAAAGCCCACTTATATCAACCTAGGATTGTTTACCAACTAATATATCCTTATGCGAAGATTTATACTGTCTAATACGTTACTTTTGTATCAAATATACGTGTTCAATCAGAAGGTATTTTTGATGACAATCCAATGTTTCTACAAAATATGTCAAACCTTTACCTGTTATTGTGTTTGGAGTCAATATTCCTAACGATATTAGTTTTGATGAGTTTACACATACATATGTTTTATGAGTCTTCGAAGATTTGCACTAAGAAATACAAAGTGAGCTATAACTTAAACTTTATACAACAAACTAATTGTTGAAAAAAATGAAAAAAAAACAAACATATCTACCACTTAAAATTTAAACAAAATAATTTTAAATATTTTCCCTAAATCTTAAGTTATATTCATATTTATCACCAAACCTACTTTTGTCACCTATTTATGAAATGTGTCTAAAACAACTTATCATATTCCAAAACACTATCTTAAACTACGCTCGTAATCAACAGATAATATAAATCATTGTGTTACTATCACAACAGAACAGTTCAATATTCTTGTGTGTGAAACATTCTAAGCTAACGTATGTTAATAATTGATTTACTTTTTAAAATCTTCATGATAAGCAAAATGAGTAGTTCAACTAGTGAAGAAGAGTAACATGGACATTTAAAATGAGAACTTTAACACGAGAAAAAATCAGATATAGAAACCGTATCGTCTCAGCAGTTCCTGGACACTCCTATTATGACAACGCAGAGTTCATCCCGGATGATGGTAAGTAAAATATGAACATTACTTAAACTTATGCCAATCAATTATAAACATATTTTTATAAACCAAGTGTAGATGTAAAAATCAAACACAATAGGTAAATAAGCTTATTTGATAATCATTTCCCTCGATTAGATTTTGTAGTTTTTTCTCAAGATTTTCATAACTAACATTGACCTATTTTCATTATTATATTAGGCTGTAGCATGACTCAATTTATTGGCTTAAACAGAAAAAACATATTTGCTATATGGAATGATGTGATTAACTTTTTAATGATTAGAGACGAGGGCCTTTAATAATTTTCCTTAACAATGTTTTTGAGAACATTTAGGCCATAAGTGTTGAAGGGGTGTACAACCTTTTAGGATTATGATTGACATGTTTTATATGTATTTTAAACTTTATTCGAAAACGCCTGTAAATAAAAACTTAGCTGTATCGTTCATCTTACTATTAGGATACCAACTTAAGTGGAACGCAGATAAGGTTCATAAGGAGCCTAAGTTAACCTTAAAAAGAAGAATAGTTTACTTATATCAATAAGCACACATAAATTAAATAAATTCCCATCCGACTAACTATATATAATTTTTTGTCCTTGGAAGCTAGGCACGATACCTGGGATTGTTTTTCACATAACTTCAGACTAGACCCAGGGGTTGTGGCAATATCACTTGGATAAAATATATAGGTGAATTGGAAGGATTTGAACCTGGGACCGAAGGAGCCGAAGTCCCACGCTCTAACCACTAAACCAGCTCACTCCTCGTACTAACTGCATATTAAACGAATAAATTAATTATATAATTAACTAATAAAGCCCTTTTTCAGTCCGCACATCTAAAATTCCCTACGGAAAGATCTTTAAAAGAGACCAATGGGGGGCACTACCACCCCGTAAATCAGACGGAAAACTCTGGATACCGGTCATGTACGTGAACACTGTCTGTGTGTTTTTGGAGGACGAAGATGGGGAAATTGAGAAAGGCTTAAAGGGTCCAGAGGCTGTGAGGAGGTTTCAGAAACTGGACATGGAAAATGGCATGAGCGACATACGGTCAAAGTAAGTTTAAATATTTCAAGTAGCAAACTCAGTTGACAATTTATAAAAAGTGATGCCGAATCTTCAGTGTAATTTGAACCTTAATTTAAAAATTCGACAGGACATAAAGACGCTTGAGGTATCAGTGGACTAAAAGTATTGACAGAAAAATGCCATCCAAACTCTCGATGAGACTGAATGTTCAGCCAACTTAGTCTGTCAGAGTACAAGGCAGTTTGGCTACATTATAATGTACATTAATTAGAAGTCGGACATAAACAACATATTCGCTAAATGTGTGTAGGTACTTCCATATAACTATTAGCCCTTTTAGTATTTTAGGGAATAATTTAATTGTACATGCCCTGAAATACATAAATGGCAAACAAGGAATTATTTACCAAACTGGCCTCGTAAAATTAAATAAACATATAAAACGATCTCTTTGAGGAAATTCAGTTTGTCAAATCAAACCTTAACCGTATACCAGCAGCCTTTTACATCCTGAATTGTACCTATATTTTTGTAGTTTCTTAGTTTTAAGTCATTGAATTTAAGGTTTTCCGTCTTATGTCATTAAAACCACTCTGTTTCAGTTTCATAATCGACGAAGACGGTATGATCTATGAAGGTAGAGGGTGGGAACAGAAGCCTGGCTACATCAAACCAGACTACCCAGATAAACAATTGGAATGGCTGGAAATATGCTACATTGGGGACTTTACCAGTGAGTATGCGACAAATCATGGCAAAATTCTCAAAAGTTCTGGGAACTTTTTCGTTAATTCACTACCAGAGGAATGTGGTTAAGTTATGTTAGGTTTTTCTAACTTTCTCGTGAACCTAAATCTAAACTAAACTTTATACTAACCTAACCTAACCAATAAGGCTTAACCCTCTACCATTTCTCTAAAAACTACTGGTAATGAATTAACAGGTCCAGGTTATGTTTGCTGACATTTTGAGAGCATATGATTATTGATTGATGGCCAAACGGTCTTAAGTTTTTCCTTTTCCTTGGCTTGAACGCTGCACAAAATATTAAGAGTCAAGTTCCATTAGCATTGCAATTTCTGGGGTGAGGCTCATTTGGAGTTACGTATCCCTCGAGCATATAGATAGCTTGAAGAGCTAGTTCAACGTGTTAGGTAGCTCTTAGGTTCACGAGAAAGTTCCACGTGAAATTAACTCTTGTTTTGTAATTTCAAACATGGACCACATTACTACATACTTAGGCGAGCGTGTGATGTGCATGTGTGAAGCCAGTTGAATTGAATGTATAAAATTGTCATACAGACGTAAATTATAGTACATAAATAAAATATCCCCTGGGTTAGTGACAGCTTGACTTAATATCACAACCAGTATTATGGTTAGGTTAGGTCATTAGGTCGTTCAGTAGTACAAAATTCCAATCAGCAACCATCACAAAAACTAGGAACAAATCACAGATGGGGAATTAACGTTATGATCCAAATATGAAAGACCAGTTTTAATTCTCCTTGGTGTGGAAATTCGTATTAAGATGGTGTGTTGAGTAATTATAACTTAGGCCTATTTAAATTTATTAAACAGTTAAATGATAGGTAGTACTCAAACCTGGTTTTAGCGAATTTCCCTTTAGGGAAGTAGCTATTACCGTAGGTCTCATGGTAAGACTTAGGCCCGGGACCGATTTACTTTTTCATTTTGATGTCCCCAGAGGCCAAAAACACCATTCGTTCAAATTTTTATATATGTATATATATATAGATATACATATATATATATAGATTTATATATATATGTGTCCGTGAACACGATAACTTGAGTAATTTTTATCCGATTTTGATGAAATTTGGTTTGAAGGTGTAAGGCGGGATAAACTTGAATGAGTTCGCGATCCAGCATGATCGGACCATGGGAACAGGGTTTTATTGGGTAAAATTGGTTTTTCTCACTTTTGAACCTGAAAACACAAAATTTCCCAATTTTTCTCCAAACCTTCTGAAATAGCTTAAAAAAACAAACAATTCAGTATATCAAAGTGTTTTTGTATGGTTATTGGTTACAGAGAAAACTAAAAGAAATGTAAATTTAAAATTCCCATGTTAGGCGGTCGACACACGGGAAGACTGAAACCCAACTAAAGTTGAACCAACTGTTTTGTGACGCGATTACGGTTGCAGTTGCGTTGGTTAAATCCGCACACGGGCGCGACTATAATTGAGTTGAGACAGTGAATGAGTTCTAATTTTGTTATAACAATACTGTGTACTGTGTATGGTGTTTGAAATGAGTAATAGTGATGAAGAAGCCTTAGTGTTTTATAAACAATCAAGAAAGCGTAGAGTAGAAGGTGTTGGGTACATCCTTATGTTAAAACAAATATTTAATGTAGGCTCTTTGTAGCTGCTGCTGCATTACAAGAAACAGACTCAAAATTTCAGTCTATGTACACAAGATGTCAAAAAGTGCTTACGAAGAGTTATCGCAGTTGGTATATCTGATCCTTGAAAAGCACAATACAAATATGCGAAAAGTTGTTCAAACCAGGCGACTGAAATCACCTAGCAACCGGCAGGTCCGGTTGCTTAACGACTGATCGCCGACTGGTCCTCAACTGGTCGCATCGCAGTCGCACCGTGTGCACTGTCCCACCTAACTACATTGGTCGGGACGAAGGCGACTAGTTTGTCCAACTGGTTGCTGATTTCAGTTGGAAAACAGTCTTCCCGTGTGTCGACGGCCTGGAGAATATTGTAAAATGTTGTAGTTTGCTTGTTTATGGATATCTTTTGTTCATACTTGGCAAATATATTCATTTTATACTAAGCAATAATTATTTTACTTAAAACACACACTTTATTAGTTTCCTTGTAGCAGCAAACCTAGGTACTCGTTAAACCTAATGTTATTTAAATAGATCGATTGAAAATCAATTCAGCCAAATGGAAATTCGCTTAGACGGCAGGTTTGCTGCGGCGGGGGTATTTCTTTTAAACATTGTTAAGCCAACAGTTTTTTGATAATCATTACATAAGACTAAATCCTGGTATTTTTTTTTTTTAGATTTACGTTTGCTAACATTGTTATACGTATAGTAAAAACGTATTTGTACACATTATTTCGTTGCTGTAATTCAACGTACCCGCATTTCTTAGGTTTGATCTAACTTAGGTTTTCTGCTGACTACGCATGCTAAGATATGAATCCTTAATTAAATTTAACCTCCAAACAGGATCCCAGTCCCATAGCCTAGGTTACGTTTAGGTTATTTTAGGTTTGGTTAGGTTAGGTTAGGTTAGGTTGTGTTACATGAGGTAAGGTTACGTTAGGTTAGGTTGTTCTTCATCAATAAAGCCTATTTCAAGTTAGACGCGCACCATCATCCTATTTAAACTTTGGCAATCTATAACAACTATTTTACAGACGAGGATGCGGACCACCCTGTACATTTTGCCACTTCTGGACTGATCACCTTAGGTATCGATAGTGGGAAAATCTCTCCTGATGCAGACTTTATACAGCCCTTAGATGGAATGGACGCTTTCACAGAAACTTACCTAGATAAATACCCTCTTCCTGAGCGAAAGTATTTAGAAAGTTAATAAATCAATTAAATACAAGCTCGTATTCCAGCAATTTATTATTTATTATTTGTACATCCCATTCGAAAGAGTTTGTCTCATTTAAAAACATCCTAAGCATAAGAAATACAATGTAATACAATTTGCTGTTCATATTTAACTTTTCTTATATGTATTTTATATTTAAACAGCTTTTGATACAGCTACGGATGTTATATAGAGAAATTAGGAACGACTCATTGGAAATTTATTAGAAACAAACAACGAAAAAATATTGCGTTTGCATTCAACACACATGTTGTTGAGATTTAATTAATTCCCGATGACCAGTTTTCCACATACTTTTGAGGCATATCAAAAACTAGCATCACTTTGACGGAATACAGATGTAAACGTTTATTTTAATTTCAGAGGAGGCACTAAACCATCCTGCACACTTCGCCACCGCCAAACTGTTGGATATGGGCAAACATAACAAACAAGTATCAAGAGATGCCTTACTGATACCACCAAAAGGATTTCTCTATGAGCGTAAACGTGTTCACGTGCCTCGATATTTACCTCACAACTCAATAATAATGTCTTCATAATTTGAACTAAATAGGAGTGGAATGCAGTGATCAAATAGAGAGAAAACAGGGGAAGAGTTGTGGACGCCTCACAGGAAACCCAAAAGAGGAATATTGTTTGTGTGATGACTTTTTATACATTTCAAATACATTGTTAATGTAGTTTTACTATCCAACCTTCGCGTGGATAATGAGTGGGATGTCTTATCCCTGGAAATAGCCAGGAATTCTGTTTTGGAATATTCGTTTGGTAACTAGAGATTTTTATTATAATGTATTTTACTATCTCGAACTAATCCTATCTGAATCTTCGAACTACCTGCAATAAAATATTTAGTCTTTAAAAACATTCAATAGCTTATGTTATGTTATGGATTGGTGATAAATTGGTATTAACCGCACAATTGTAATATTGAATTTACAACAAATGAAATTAAGCTTATACTACCTTTATGAGCCTACCTTTATGTTTACTTTGATGCCGAAATAAATCTACACACCATAACGTTTAATAATAGTTATTATATTATAACATAAGAACCACCTTGAATAAATAATATATAACCTCTAGGAAAGTGATATCAAGGTTACGTTAGGTTAGGTTAGGTTAGGTTAGGTTAGGTTTGGTTTGGTTTTAGGTAAAACAGATACGACGAAGTGTCAACAGAAAAAAAATTATCTAGTTAAAGTCGGGAACAGTTCTCCAATCCTAGTTTGTAATGCTTTATTAGTGTTGTTAAAGATTGAGAGGTTCAGTAGTTAAGGCTTGTTAAATAGTTAACTCATAATGCAGTAGTCTGCAGCTGGTTAAACATATTGAAGTGGTTTACGGCATCTTAGTTGAAAGGCTCATAGTCCTAATATTGATCTGAAATTCATCTCAACAAAACTTTCAGTAACTTCATATCCACATTGGAACGAAACTGGACTGTACTAGAAAAACTAACTCTGTCATAAGATTAGGCCATTTTGGGAGTAGTTTGTAAGATGAATTACAGTTTAAAGGTTGAGTGAGTATTAAAGGTAAGAAGTGATTTGTGGAATTTCATAAAGAGAATTTTAATTGGATCGAAAAATTAGTTGTTCATACCATGAGGTAGAGTAAAGTATTTTTGGGGATATTTTGTTAGATTCTGAGCTGCCTTCAGGAAGTTTTTCACTAGCCATAATTGAAGTATGCTTTCTAACATTAGAGTTAATTGGATTTTTTGGTGTAATAACTAGTCAGTTTACAATTAGACAAGCACTGTAGTCTTATTTAACAGTTAACTAACTACTGTCTAACATAGATACAGAAATAGATTCGGGATTTTTTAACAGCGCTTCCATGTGTTTATGCAAGCAATCCTAATTTTTTTAAAAGGGTTTCTTGTATTTCGCAGTGGTTTGGGACCATTTGTATAACTATTGACCAATTTATCTGTTAAATATTACTTGTCAATCTTAAATCTACCAAAACTTGTCAATAATGACAGCTAACGTATGTAAATTTAATTAATAGTTGACATGTCAATAATCGCACCTGTGTGATGCCGTTGACATGCTTGTTGATTGATGCACTACAGTATAATATTATGATAGTCTATACGTTTTTATAAACACATAAAATTTCTGAAATCAACAAATTGACATTACAAAATATTTAATTACTATAGACATACGGCATTTTCACCTCAAACTTCTGTCGTAACATTGCCTCAAGACTGTGAAATTCAATGTAAAAAAAAATTGGTGGAATAAGAATTAAAATGATAATCAAAATCAAAATTCTTTACTCCATTCAGCAAAATACAATAGGATGCGTCAACAATTAGAAGTGAAATACAAAAGACAGTCAGTCTGAAAAGATTCAAGCAACAAAAACACTCTGAGAGAAAAATCATTAAGTTGCATGTTTAATCTGCCTTTGTATCTTGTCAAAAAAATCTTAGTATAATAATAGAAAACATTTGTTGGCATGCAATCTTTAGATTAATTATTTGGCTCAGTGCTAGTCAACCAATGCGGACGTCTACCTCTGTAGTATGCAAAACGACCAAAGTAATGATTCTATTGGTTTGAGTTTCCATAGTGTGCAGCAAATAGTGTTTGATTATTAAAATTCAACCATGTCAAGAAAAAGTGGAATTAAAAGTTACAAATTTTTAAGATGTTGTCCTGCTTTGTTTGAGAATCATTCATAGTTAGTTGGACAATTTGTCGTTGTATTTTGAAAGTTTACCTAGTGTGACATATCAAAGAAGAAAAAGTTATACTTTAAAACCTTGAATTTTCTATCATAGTTTATTTTTAACACACATTTCGGGTTTTTAAAAGCAAGTTTATAAAACCAGAAATACCAATTTCGAAAAGTACTCTCATAAACAATAAGTAATCCAATAACAAGACTTTTTATTTTTAACAATTGTGTGGCAACATCAAAAAATAAGATACTTGCATTATTACTTAGTCTATTGCAGGTTTTGTTATAAGTTTTTTACGGTAGTAAAATAACAAACATTTTCCTTTGGAGGAAAACATTCGATGAAAACAGTTTGTTTTGCCAGTCATTTTTTGTTTGCGACAAATTTGATTGGGTCATCCGTTCAAAGGTGACAAGAGTAATAGTCGAGCTAAAAATAACGTTACATTTCGGTCAGACCACTGATATATTGGTTTACTCTATCAACTCACCGGGGTTTTCTAGTTGTATACTTTTGATAGATTGCCATTGTATTTTTACATAAATTAGACAATTACTGTTAGTTAATCAGATAATAGTTATCTTTTTTATAACTTTTGTTTAAGTAAAACTAATAAATTTAATATTTTAATGGATCTAATATAGAAAAGAATTCCAACAATAGTTTAAATATTGTTTTGTTCCAATTTATATTTAAGCTCCTACAACCGTAGGAACAATGCACATGTTTTTTTGGAAAAACGAAGTTTGGTAAATCAGGGTACTTGTTTTAAGTCGTCATGTTATGAAATCATTCCTATAATTTGGCCTAAATAAGATGTTTTAAAATAAAGGTGTTGATTGACTTTTCGATTAGTTAAATTTAGTTTTAATTCACACAGTTTACTATGGAGTGAAATCTAAGTGTTAAAGCGAGGTAAGAACATTTAAATAATCATCTATCTGCTTTAACTGATAGAAAAATGCCTTGACAATAGTGTTCCTGTAGTGAAATGCTACTCTTTTAAGCCCCAAAATCGGCATCAGAGTAAATATTATATAGATCACAACACATTTTTAAAGGGTATAAGGTGCAAAAATAGGCCCTACTGTCAGTACACTTTTTTCTTGTGGCAGTAAAACAGTTTTCGGGAAAGCAAATCGCTAAGCAGGTCTTCATAACCTCCTACCAGAGCTACTGGAACTTTCCTATTATTAAGTTACAATTGATTGTACAAGTTATTATTACAGGTTGTATGGAACAATATAATGGTTATGTTAGTACTCGTTTCTAACCATGTCTTAACCTAAACAAGATAGTTATAACCTAGACTCATGTCTAAAACTTTTGAATCTTAAATAAAAATATTATTAATTAATCAACGGAAAAGGCTGAGCTGCTTCCATAAGCAGCAATATGATTCTAAGGTAATTACAAATCGCGTAGTTAAGATGTGAGCTCCTTGTAGTATTTACTCGACAAAATCCCAAATGGAGCAAACCAATTATTTTGTAAAGTGGAAATAAAAAACATATTTCTCCCAAAGTAGTATCCATGTCTATACTGTATAATATCCTTGCAATCCTAGCAGGAGCTGTTTGGATTTTTCTCTCGTTACACCCGAACAAAGGTCCTAAACGTAAACATGTTGTTCTACCATCTTAACAATTAAGGATTATTTTACAAACAAACTTGGGTGCGTAGACAGCCAAGTTCTGCACGTGTCTGGCTAAGTTCCATAGAATAAACACAAAAAGGAAACGAAACTTTTACAAATCTTTAGAACCTTTTGGCTTATTCTATATTTTAGCTTAACCGCGGATGATACACATAGCGTAATGTTAATTATATAAATAATTTTATTTTTATGTGTATGTGAGCTGTATTGTGAGTGTATTGTGAGCTGTATTCTCTTTCTTCGTTAATAATGAGTTATTTAACATGGGTTCCCCATGAGGTATGGGGGTTTTCTATGTACTTATGTGGTTAGTATTCAAACCACATGTTAGTTTTCTAATAGATATCACAATTAAACTACTATATTTCTATGGATCATGAATTATTTTTGTTTTCAATGTGTGCCTTTTATATCTTATTAATAAATCAGGCACACGAAGGTTCTAAAAAATATTAATGAGTTAAAGTAACATAAAAAAGGGGGTTCGTTTCAGGACAATAATTAAGATTAATAGTTTATAACATTCGTATACCCTCGATCCGATAATAATTATGTTTAACGTGGTAAAAAATATGAATTTTTGGATCAAAAAGATAAAATAAAATAAGTATTTACGTCTTGGTAATAGTTTATGACACAAACCTTTATATGTGTAAAATAATTACAGCAATACAATGATCATTAACAAAATAGCTTATTATACAGCCATAACAGTAGTTTTACATAAACTATTCAAAAGTTATTTCAAGGTAAATTTTCCACCTCTCAACGTTTTACTTAGCAAGACTGTCGTTCTCTTGAGATGGATCATCTACATAAATTTTACATACTGGTTTTTGTTTCTAAATTGTCTGAATTTTGTTAGGCAATCCATATTAACGGGTTTAAATAATTTGTTCTGAAATAGTATATGCTGTCTCATTTATTTTCTACTGGATTTGTAACTTTAATACGAAATATACCACAGAATATCTTGATGAAAGTAGTGGTACTCTGAATAGTGTACTTTCCACGTCATAAGAAAAACAATCTTATAAATTGTACATGGAAATATTTAATCGTAAATAATCATCATTCAATCCCAATCTTACGGTTAAAAAACAAACACTGTCAAATTTACCATCACCTTTTCACAACAATTTTTACGATGGTTCGTAACTTATCGGATCAATGAACTATAAAACCTAACCATTCATCGGTAAAATAAACTTTTTGGTATTACTGAGAGCTAGTAAAAATGAATATAAGGTTTTATTCCATTTAGCATACGAGTCCACCTCCGTTCTAAGTCCAAATCAACTGATTAAATGGATTTAACTCGAATCATTTCCTAGATAGGTATTGAACCTGTGTGCAGTTTGTGTTATAATGTTGATCAATTCACTCATGTTAATGTCATTTCACTCACTCATGTTAATTAATTTCTAGACGTGAAAAGAATTGTAACAATTGTCAAAATTCAAAAGCCGATGTTTTA